GCATATATATAAATTAGGGGGACTTATTTTTTCAATTTCTTTATATATTCTGGATATTTTGAAATAGGGTCTTGCTATGTAGTTCAGGCTGGCCTTGAGCTCACTTTGTAGTCCAGGCTGCTCTCAGGCTCTCAACAGCCCTCCTGTCTCAGCCTCCTGAGTGCTGGGATTACCAGCACGTGTCACCATGCCTAATTTGATGTGGACTATTTTGGAGAACATATCAGATGCAACTGAGAAGAATGTGTATTCTGATGTATGAAATACTCTAGACATTTCCTAAGTGCGTTTGTTTGAAAGTTTGGTTCAGTTCTGATATTTCATTATTGATTTTTTTTTGGTATAGTTAATCTATTTCTGATAGTGAGATATTGAGTTCTCCCATTACAATCTTTTTAGCACTTATTTGATTTTTCATGTCCGTTAGTATTTATTTTATATAGTTAGGTGCATATATGCACTGGTGTTCAGTGCATATAGATTTATCATTGTTACCTCTTCCTCTTAAATTGTTCCCTTTACAAGGAGGTAGTGACCTTCTTTATCCTCCTAATGAGTTTTGGCTTGAAATTTACTTTGGATATAAATAGAATAGCTATCCCTTTCTTCTGGGTTCCTGTCATATGGAGTATTATATTCCTTCCTTTTGCAATCTCTGAATTTCTTTTTAATTAAATATGTTTCTTTTGTGCAGCACATGGTTGGACCTTGTTTCTTCATCCACTCAGCCAGTCTGTTTCTTTTGACTGGTAAATTGAGACCATTCACATTGATGGGTATATGTATTCATTTATCCTTGTCATGCTGTTTTCCTGTAATCAGCTTTTTTTTTTTTTTTTTTTGTTTTTTGTTTTTTTTTTGTTTGTTTGACTTTTTTTCAATTCTGTTTAATTGCTTGCCTTGCCTGGTGGAGTTACTATATTGTAGCTCATGGAATTGTAGTCCTTGCTGTCTCTTTCTAGAATGTCCTTATGAACATTTTGGAGCACTGGTTTGGTTGTCATGAATTTCCTCAGGTCATGAAACTATCTTATTTCTCCATCAAGGTTGAAAGACATTTTGTGACATCAACTCAGATATCAATCTGGGTTGAAGGTTGTTTCTTTTAGGGTTTGAAATATTTCACTCCAAGGTCTCTTGACTTGAAGCTTTGTGTTGAGAAGTTTACTGAGATTCTGCTAGGCTCTTTTTTATAGGTCATTTGTTTCTTTTATCTAACAGCATTTAATAATTTGTTCTGCTGAATTTCTGGAACCTTGATGACTATATGCCTTGGTATAGATTTGTTTTTGATCAAGGCTGATTGGAGTTCTACGTGCCTTACTCTGTGTATGTCAACTTTTTTTTTTTCCCTTCTTGGGAAGTTTTCTCCTATACTTTTGTGAAGAGATGTTTCATGTCATTGTTGTTTTCTCCTGGTTTTTTTTTATTGATTCTAATCAATCTTATGCTATTCTTCTTTTCACCATCTAGCAGCCACTGGATTGATTTCTCATGGCACCTTGGTCTCTCCAACAAATCTTTTTCATGATCTCTAACTCTAATCTTTCCTTCTGCGTCTGAGATTCTGTCTTCATATTGGCTCCTTCTACTTCTTATGCTTTTAATAAGCATTTTAATCTCCTAGATATCTTTTTGAGTTTGTTTCATGGATTCCATTTTTTTTTCCTGTGTTGGATGTTCATGGTTTCTATCATTTTCCTAATCTTCTATTTTTCTTTTAAATCTGTATTTGCTATAGAGTCACTATGCATGTCATTGATTATGGTCACCATTTATGTAGCTAACTGAGAAATTATTTCTTACTTGACTTTTTTCAAGAGCTCCATTATTTTCCTTACTTCTACTTTCACTAGTTGAGAGAGTCCAAGATTTTGATTATTCCATCTCATTGGTCCCTACATTTCCCTTTGGTGAGCTGAGTGACTGGAGATGTACCTTTTTTATGTACTTCTCATATATTTTTTTAAGTTTAATTTCTAGATTGATGCTTGTAATTTGCTTATGGTAAGCAGCTTTATTGCTAGTATCTTGAACCCTTAAGAAATGAGTTCTTCTGAGAGCTGTCTTCCAGGTCACAAAGCCAAAAGTTAAAGGTTGAAAGCCTGAAAGAACTGGAGACAAAGGCACTGGTGTAGACCGGAGCTCCTTTGAAGAAGAAAGAGGGATAAAAGGCTATTATCTGGTGCCACCCAACCCAGGCTGAGTCTTTCCTCCTCATGTTGTGACTTATGTGTCAGTCATCTCTAAGTGTAATGAGAGCTTTACTAATGTGCTAGGTGATTCTTTTTTTTTTTTTTTTTTTAAAGTATTTAGTACAGAGTCCACAGGGTCTCACTATGTAGATTGGACTCATAGCAATCCTCTTGTTTTCAGCCTCCCAAGTGCTGGGGTTACAGGCCCGTGTCACCACATCCAGTCTCAGTCGCCATCTCTGCACGCCCCAGAGGCAGCGCCTGAATGGCAAACCAGGAATGGAACTGTTCCTGGGTCTGCCTACACAGGTGCTTTAATCGGCTGAGCTGTCTGGTCGGCTCCTGCTAGGTGATTCTCACTGAAGTCAAGTTGACACATCATGGTTAACAATGAATGACAATAATCATTGTTCCCTGGAATCTACAAGTAACTCTCATATACATAAAAACATAATTTTTAAATTTTTTTTTATCTTAGTACAGAGTCTACAGGGTCTCACTGCATAGATTGGACTTGTAGTGATCCGCCTGTGCTCAGCCTCCCAAGAGCTGGGTTTGCAGGCGCACACCACCATGCTCAGTCTCAATTGCTGGCTTAGTGCGCTCCATGGGTGGGGCTGGCACCACACACCGGGGATCAAACCTTTAAGCCACTGCATCTGCTTAAGCAGGTGCTTCAATCTGTTGAGCTATTTGGCCAGCCCTGGTTTAAAAAAAAAAAAAAAAAAATTGAACTCAATGCAGATGCCTTTGTGATACTGTCTGCCTTCTTTTTTTATTTATTTATTTATTTATTTGTGAGTGTGTGTGTGTGTGTGGCCAGCTCAGCCCACCAGGGGGTGGGGCTGGCTGGCATGTGGTGCTGGGGGATTGAACCCCGTCCCTGTGCTTTGCCAAGCTTGTTCTAAGTAGGTGCTTTAGACCACTGAGCCATCTCACCAGCCCCACTGTCTGCCTTCTTACTTGAAAGAATAACTCTTTATATTTGCTTTACAATAAACTCCAGTGACATATATATATATATATATATATATATATATTGCACCAGGATTGAACTCAGGACCTTGTGCTTGCCAAGCAGGTGCTTAAGCCACTAACCTATATCCCCAGCCATTCCAATGATACTTCTGCATGGTCACATTTATGTCTTTACTGAAGTCTTACATCAAAGGCCAAGAGGACTGAGGGCCAAAGTGTAAAGTTCAGTTCTTCACTGAATCCAGCCCCAGCTTCCTGGTGATGAAATTCTTCAGTAACTTCCCAGCTGAGGTGCCTGCTGTTGCCCTTATCCTTCACCAGTCCATTCTCCTTCACCATCAGTAGGCATTTGTCCTAAACTCAAATTTCATCTGGTGACTTTCTGCCTAAAATGTCTTTGTAGCTTCTCACTGCATGTGAGCTATAGTCTGGCAATCCAAGCTTGCAAGGCCACTTCTCCCTATCATACTCCTTTTTTTCCTGAAGCCATTCTCTTTCTCTTGTCTTACCTCAAGCAGCTATGTCATTCTTTGTTATTCTATTTATTTATTTATTTATTTATTT